GATGCCCTGTCCCTCTGTTTCTGTTCCTGTTATTAAAAGATAAGGGTCCCTTTGAAAACGTGCACTGTACCCACACACCCAGTTACCAAGGAGCTGGCTCCCTGCCAGGCAACCCCACCCTGTGGGGCTTTCAGGGGCTGGTGTGTGTGTGTGTGTGTATGTTGTCAAAGTTGGCAGCCAGGCCTTTCTCTGTGACACTTCCCGGTGGACTCACCTCCAAGGTTTTAGTGGGCAGTTGAGCTCATCAACCCCCAGGAACATCCTAACCACAAACTGAACCGCACTGCTGCCCTGGAGTCGCCTCGGCTCACAGAGGCCACGCAGGGCCAAGTGGAGCAGCTCCTCGGGTGTCCATCTCCATGGGCAGGCAGGGACACGCACACCTTCCTTTGAGGAGCAGGCGCCTGGTGGGTTGGAACTGCCAACCTTTCAGTTAGAAGCCCCATGCTTAGCTTGCTGTGCCACCAGGGTGCCTTTATAGTGTGGCCTCATCACACCATTGTCCCTCCCAGATGTCCCAGACCCTAACACACCACCCCCTCCCCAGGCCTCCAGTCTTCCAGCAGCCGGTCATCTTCCTGGGTGCCGACGTCACCCACCCGCCCGCTGGAGACGGGAAGAAGCCTTCAATCGCTGCTGTGAGTATAAAACAACCCCAGTCTCTGGGTGGGGCCCTGAAAGATCAGTGGGGCATATGGCATCAGGGGGTGGATTGGGCCAGGGTCACAGGCCCCTGAAGCAGTGGGGCTGGCACTATGTCCCTGCAGAAATGGCACAGAGACCTCTGACCTCCTGGCTATACCAGGGAGAAGGAGAATGCTACTTCTCACACACCTCCATCCTCCCTTGTCCTGTTCTAACACCAGCCTCCATCCTGTGTCAGACAGGCGCCCGCCTCCATCCTCCCCGTCCTGTTCTGCCACCACCCCTTCCTCCTGGGTCAGGAGTCCATCAAGTGACCTCACAGAACTCGGGGTGAACAGGTAGCCCAAGGCAGGGCCAGTAAACAGTAAGGAGACAGTCTGGGGCACAGCAGCCCCCCTCCTCCTCTGCCAGCAGCCACGTCTCTCCCTGGTCCCCAGCCTCTGGGCCACGTGGTCCCTCAGCCTTGGCCTTTGTGGGTGGGCCTGGACGCCCGAGTGCCACGGCCACACTGTCTCGGACTCAGGCCTCTGGTCTCGCCTCGGCCGCTTCAGACAGATACACGTCAGCGGGCTGGCTCCCTGCTGGCTCTTTGTCCATCCCCAGGGCCCCGGGGATTCTCACTGCTCCAGGTGGCTCCGAAACACCAGAGTGGCTTTGAGGGAGGTCTGGTTTGTGTCTTTCTGGAGACCGTACCCCAAGGAAGCAAAGGCGGGTGACGTGGTTGACACCCTCTGGCCAGGTGGAGACCCCGGGTACAGCCCACCTTTCTCCTGTCTGTTAGCAAAGCAGAGTGGGAAGGTCGCCGCCAGCGCAGAGACCGGGACGTGTACAGCATCAGGGAAGTAAATGGTAGCGGAAGCCCTTTAAGAAATTTCACTTCATCCCACCCCACCCCCGCCAACCAGGCTCCTTCTGGAGAGTCCACCGCAGTACAGCAGACTGACTACAGCTGGTGGGAGCCGGCGGGCCAAGTGGGGGAGCCGTGGTGTGGGCTTTTGCTTGTTTGTTGTGCTTTTTTGGGGGGTGGTCGTAGGTTGTGCCCTAGGCTGCAGGGCCAAGATTTACGGTCACACATGGGGCCTGCCCCTCACCTGCTGGTTACAGGCTGCTGCAGCCTCCCTGAGTTTGTGCTGGGCTGAGGATTGAAATCCAGGGCAGGCTTCTGCCCAGGACTAAGTGTGGAGAGGGTCAGGCAGTGGTGGGCCAAGGGCTTTCGAGAGGAGTTGGAGTGGACGAGGTGCTGGACTCGGCCCTGCCCTGGAAACCTTCACCCAATTCATGAGAAACCATTTACAAAAGTCAAGGAAAATGCCAGGGAAAGATTGTAGGAAATGGAATAAAGGCAACGGACCCAGCTCTCAAGGCCCGTCGCCTCTCACAACTGAGCTGGCGTGTTTCGTAACCCGTGCTGCCGTGGTGAGGACCGCGGGAGCCAACTGTGTGTCAGACTTGGACCCAGTCTGTCCTCGCTTCCCCTTGCAAATTGTGATTTGGGTGGAAGTTTACAAAGCTGATTTGTTTCCGCGCAACAATTGATACACATTGTGTTTCGTAACATGAGTTGCAACATTCTGTTTCTTTGTGAAACAAGCGGGGAAGAGTGCAGGGTTCAGGGCCCCTCCTGAAGTCCCCACCACCCTTAGCCCGGTCCAGCCGTCTAGGGAAGGGGTGGGGTGACCAGTATCTTGAAAAACAAAATGAAACACCCAGCTTCAAGTGTAGTTTTCTTCATGTATGTGCTTTGTGCATTTGGTCACAGGGGACAAGGGGGGCTGCCAGCCTCCTGGTGTCACTCGGGGTCCCAACTGCGGGCACTGCTGTTGGCCGTGCCCCTGGCACACTGGCTGGGTGTTGGGGCTGCTGGGAGTTGTGCCTGCGGCTGTGTGATGGGAGCGACAATGTTGGCGTGTGACGGCTGCTTTGGGAAGGCAGTTAGCCTTGCAGGCCACCAGGAGCGCAGCGGCAGAAACACCAGGGAGCTTGTCTCCGGCTGTGTTTCCTTCCCTGCATGTCCCTCAGCTGCAGCCGATCACAAGAAGCTAGAAGGCTCTGCGTCATTGTCTCTTACTTGTAGGCCTTCCTCGGGGTGTGGTGGCAAACGATGCCCGCATGTGCACGCATGGGCGCGTGCACACACACACACAGCAGGCATTCACTGGGATGGGCCACTGTGTGGCTTCCAGGTGTAGCCCCCAGGTTCTTGGCCCTGACAAGCCCTCGTGTCTGTTCACACACACCCCCCCCCAGGTCGTGGGCAGCATGGATGCCCACCCCAACCGCTACTGTGCCACCGTGCGTGTGCAGCAGCACCGGCAGGAGATCATCCAGGACCTGGCAGCCATGGTGCGCGAGCTGCTCATCCAGTTCTACAAGTCCACGCGCTTCAAGCCCACACGCATCATCTTCTACCGAGACGGCGTCTCCGAGGGCCAGTTCCAGCAGGTGGGCTGGGTTCACCTGTGGGGTAGCCCCACTCGGCCTTTGGGTTTCTGAGCCACTCACCCGTTGTCCCTGGGGCATGGCCATCCCGGGAAAGGAGCCTTTCTCGCCTCTCGCCTGCAGAGCAGCCTCAGTGGACAGTGGACGGCAACGGTCACACGTCCTGTGGCCGATACAGACAGGTAGTGGGAGTGGAGATCTGGCACCATTCCTGGTGCCCATGTTCCTGGCCTCCAGAAAGGGCACCAGGCTTTCTCAAAGCTACACAGCTCCCTGGGGGAGGAGTGTCTGAGTACAGGTCCGGCGCCCGTGCCCCTCTACCTACTCTAGGACCTGCTGCTGGCTCCGCTCAGATAGAAACCCAAGCGGCTGGCGCTCACTATTGCAGGGAGGGGGTGGGGCGGGGGGCAGGGGAGGGGGTGTTCATGTTGTTTCCAGTCATAGTGACCCCATGTCCAACAGAAGGAAGCCCTGGCCGCCAGGCCCCTCGCCACCCCACAGTGGTTGCATATTGTGGTTGCTTCCGTAGAGCGTTCAAACATCCTGGGACCTATGCGAGGCAATTTTATGTGCTATCTCATTTAGAGCCCTGCCCCTTGGGAGAATTGGTCATGTGCTTGTGACATGTCCATACACCCCCAGAGCGGGGTGACCTCCAGAGGCACAGCTGAGTGGGGGAGATGCGAGCTCAGAAGCCACCAACACTCGCTCAGCGACGCCCGTGGCCCGGCAACTTAGCTCCTCTGGAGCAGGAGCTCTCGTTTGGCCACCGCCGAGCGCAGCTACCGAGGGTTGCTGGTTCAAGCCCAACGCGAGGCCCCTCGCCACAGGGAGGAAGCCTGCCCCCAGGGGGACATTGAGGGAGAGGCTTGGAGCTCACCCAGGGGCACGTTGTTGGGGGGAACGGCTGTTGGTGTGCCCTGTGGGAGGGCCCCAAGGGGCAGGTCTCTGTCCCTGGACCCTTAGGAGTTGGTATGACCTGGCGGCGGCAGCAGCCACAGCACAATACCTCCATGTATTGTCCATGACCTCGCTACAGGGCGCCTGTGTCTAACATGCTGGCTGCTTCCCCTGCGCCCTCCAGGTCCTGCACCACGAGCTGCTGGCCATCCGAGAGGCCTGCATCAAGCTGGAGAAGGACTACCAGCCGGGGATCACCTTCATCGTGGTCCAGAAACGCCACCACACCCGCCTCTTCTGCACCGACAAGAACGAGCGGGTGAGAGAGAGAGAGGTGGTGTGTGTGTGTGTGTGTGTGTGTGTGTGTGTGTGTGTGTG